AGGTTTCACTGGATTAAAGGACTTGCTGGCCGGAGTCAGTCAAAAGTGGAGTGGCACATCCCGCTCACGGCACAGACAGGAACCTACCGGATTCAACACTTTGGACACTACAAACAATTCACGGATAACAACACCATCACACCATACGTTGGCACTTCTGATGCTTTTAAAGTCACCAGAAGCTTTTACTACTATTGATCAGTGTATCACTGAGAAAGAACACTAGACACAACGCTGACAGATATTAGCTGCTCGTAAGGCAGTGCTCAATTAAAAACATCAATCTGTAACTTAATGTTGTTGTTCTTTACACTGTCTACATAAGTGAAACATTCATACAGCAAGAGTACTAAAATGTCAATACTGGTTTCTAAGGTGAAGTAATTGTTTTGTGAAGTATTAAACTATCTATAAAACTGCTGCAATAGCTCCTGTTTATATTTTATATATTTAAATCAAGTTTTTTGGGCAGTGTAGAGTAGGGCTTGTTGTTTGTCATTTCTCCGATCACAAATGCAGACATGGTTTTATGTTTACGCGGCGTGATGCAACGCAACGCGTAAAAAGACAGTATAAGTCATTATAATCCATAATTATGTCCCCATTGGATGCAACGGATGCCTAGTTTATAATGGGTTTTCAATGTTTTTGAATCATCGCTCCGGCCTGACAGGGCATCATCACAGTATGGTAAGGGGCGTAACATTTCCGTCACACGCTTGAGGTATTCGGCCAATCACAACGCACTGGATAGCTGACCAATCACAGCACACCTCGCTTTTTCAGGCCGATGAGCTTTGTAAAAATGTACGCATTTCAGAAAGGCGGGGCATAGAGGAGATACAATAATGTACAGTATGTGGAAAATAATGTGTTTTTTTAACCTTAAACCGCATAAACACATTTCATTCCACTAAATGCACAAAATAATGTTCTTTTTATCAGCATCATATGACCCCTTTAATAAAAATTTTTAATTTAAATTTGTGTCCTAGTAATTATGCACTAGGCCCATTCATTTTATAAAAGTAGCAAGCACCTTGCAAACAGAAAAACAAAATGGCTCAAAAGTTTGAAAAATAACAAATTTCAGCCTTAAGTAATAAAGCCTCAGTAGTTTGATTCTGATTTTAAGAAAATACATAGAAATAATGTTTTTGTAAAGACTGATAGTAGTTTTCCATACAGTAGAAAAGTTTCCATTAGGCCTACACGTATTAGGCCCTCAATGTTTTTCGCCATGTTGAAAAGACTTCAATAAATGTCGGTGAGTTGTAGATATGCTAGTATAGTGTAGTTTTTAGTAATGCGAAGACCGAAAATTAGGCAATGAATCACACCTACTGTATTGTCGTGCTTTATCAACGGGAGAATCAGTACCGATATATGGCCGAAGAAGCAGAAAAGGTCTCAAGCCACAAGCCAGAAGATGAGAAGACGACAAAGAGTAAGACACACACACAAAACCTGCGTAAACATCGGTACAGTGAACACAAGGTGGAAAGATTCGATGACAGAAAATTTAGTAGGGAGTAGTGGATGCTCAAGATTTATTGGAAGGTAAAGGAATTAATTATTGTGTAGAAAACTCGCTAGTATCATCGACATTTTCATAAAACTCAGAAGGACGTTCATGAAGCGTGGTACACAGCTTTTGTCGTGTCGATACTTAAAAGTACACAAAGAACAGCAATGCTAATGCTAGCTCAAGAACTACTGAATGTACAACCTGTACTTATACTTGTAGCATATCAAAAATGTTTTTTAGGGTTTCATTATCATTTAAAATGAGTCACAAATGCAAAAAAGAAGTCAGGAGACATGTCACGAAGTTAATTTGATTTGGTTTTTTTATTGATGGTTAGTTGATTTTCTAGAATTATATTTTCATAACTCTCTTTGTAGCACTATGAAGATCTCAGCTTATTTTTTTTTGTCCTGATGATTCCGTCAAATTCTCCCTCCAGTTCTGATGCCAATCACTTAGATAATAAATTATTTCAAGCACGCCATGATCGAATAACAAGTTCATAAAAACAGAATTGGAATTCAGGTATAAAAAAAGTTCTAAGTGCTACACAAACTTTAATACTGTCACCTTTAAGGCATCTTAATATTTAACAAAAATGTGTCCATGTGTATTTAAACAATGTTCTTACATTCCCCACTTAGAAAACGTTTGAAGTGGGAAATTATTAGTAGCAAGCCTGTAAATATCTTATAAAATATAGCAAAACTACTTATCAACAAACCAGATACAAAGTGTGAACCATTTCTAAAATGTTCATAAAACATGCAGATACATACAAAAGTGTATGAATGGGTTTCATCTGTTAAAACTCTCTGTACTTGGGTGTTAATGTAAATACTGAAAGAAAACCAACAAAAAAAACAAACCACTTTAAATACAGTGCCAAAGCTTACAAAAGTAAATTGGTGCGTCCGAAATCGCGTACTGTCTGAGTAGCTACTACATTTGAATTTACTTTACGACCGTTAAAAAAGTACATATGAATGAAAACCGGACATACTACATCCGCCATGTTGCTACTGTCACACGACCTACCCGTTGCCATTTCCATTCATAAATTCTCTCCCGTGGCCTCATGGGATAGTAATGCCTTGTCCAAATACCCACACTTGAGGTCTTTGCACTTGACCACTTGAACACTTATATGACGTATTTCCTGTATTTGGCCCAAGTGTTCAAGTGAGGATGAAGACCACAAGTGTGTGTTGAACTATTCTTTACCTGATGGGACACACTTATAGTGTTGTAAAAATGCAAGTGTTTACATAGCTTTATTTTAATTTGAAATACTTTGCATTTTAAAATCAACTTCTAAATGTCTGTTCAGTAGTCTCTGCGGTGCTTCTAATTAAGTGATAAAAAGCAGTTGCAAATGTTGTACAAAATAAATATCACCACTACTCATCTTTGCACCAATAAAACGTAAAAACACTGTTTTTCTACCATTTGGTTTCTTGATCCATCACCTCTTGAGAACTAGAGAACAGAATGTTTTATGGCTGAGAATATGAAATGGGATTACCCTACATCCAACTTTGACTAAATGTGACTCAGACTTGTGAAAGGTCACAAAATTTAAGCATATAATTTTGACAGGGATAAGACATTTTTTTATTTTATGTTCTTTGGCAAACAACAACAACAAAAACATTCTACCCCAAGAGTATGCATGTTGGTTTGACAGTTTTGCAAAGGTTGGATAGTGAGATACTGGGGAACACTGATGCTCCTGAGAAGAAGCATCATGCGTGTTCACCTCAGATTTGTAAGGTTAAAAAAGATGTTTGTCTAAAATGTTGGTAAAATGATATAAATCACAAATCTAAATTTGATCAGTCCAACTGAGTTGAGCTTTCCATAGATCACTGACTTTCAACTAAAAAGTCTGTCATCATCTACCCACCCACATAATGTTTTACCCATTTAACAACATGTAAATGCTACTCCATGTAATAAAAATGCACGCTAATCACTGGCTGTTAAGTGCTTAGTTTAATAAAAACGCTCTATCTAAGGTCAGGATTTGAACCCTAATCCCATTTCATGTTAATCCAAAAGGTTTATACCATTTAACACTTATATAGAGAACTGCTAAGTAGTAAGTGTTTCTTTTTTCTTTGGTCATGTCTTATCTTACCTAGCACACCAAAAAAGGTGCATGACACCCTTGCCCCTGAGGCAGCTAATGTCTGTGTCACCACTTCAACTAAGAGGAATGAAAATAACTGCACAGAAGCAGAGAAAGAGTATGCAGACAGTAAGCAGCAGTGGGTGGGTTGGAGGGTACCAGACAGGAATGCATTTCTGCTGGGGCCTTTGAGAATTGTGGGCCGTAGTGTGTTGACTGTCTCTGGAATCAAACAGTGTAACCGATGGAATCTCCAACCAGCTACCTCACTTGGAGTTCCAGCAGGGGGATGGGAGTGGGATGTGATTTAAAGGGGTCATATGATGCGATTTCAAGTTTTGCTTTCTCTTTGGAGTGTTACAAGCTCTTGGTGCATAAAGAAGATCTGTAAATTTGCAAAGACTAAAGTATCAAATCCAAAAAGATATTCTTTATAAAAGTTAAGGGTCAATCACGCCTAACTAAAACAGCTCATTCTAACACGCCCCCACATGTCTACCTCACTATGTGGAAATATTAGCAAAGAAAGAAGGCATGGTTTCAGGAACAGCAGTCGTGTTGATGCAGCCATGTCAGGGAGACGCTGTGTTTCAGTGCGAAAGCAAAAGCACTTTATTTGGCCTTCCGGAAGTAGATGCAATTAGGAATCATTGGTTAAGATTTATTTACAAAAGAACAGCACAACCCAGATTGGACGACAGTTTTTTGAACCTAGAAGAGTACAAGGCTGGCTGTGCACAAAGGCTATTTCTAAAAAAAAAAAAAAAGGGTAAATTCCGACTTCCGACAATCTGGCGCTTCTGAATCAGCGACTGTAAGTATGTTTTGTTATTAGTTTAAGTATTTGAATTTTGCGCAGCGCAAAGTAACGCGTCGTGTGTGTGTGAGTGTGTGAGGGGAACATGGTCACATCACAGGAGAGTGAACTGCCTGTCAGAAATCATAGCACGTCAACTGTCTTAATCGCGGCTTTGTTGCCCTTTCGGGCTTGAACTGATGGTAAAACTAACAACATTATTAACTGCATTGATATTTACTTTGAAAGCTGAAGCTCGCGATTATGGTAAGGGGCGTTCCATTTCCGACGCGTGCTTGTGGTGTTCGGCCAATCAGAGCATACTGCGCTTGTCAAAGGAGGGGGCTTTACGGCCAATCACAATGCACTGGGTCAGCTGGCCAATCAGAGCATACTGCGCTTGTCAAAGGAGGGGGCTTTATTGAAAATGACGTGTTTGAGAGAGGCGGGCATAGAGGACCTACAATAATGTACAGTATTTAAAAAAAAAATTGTTTTTTGAACATTAAAGCATGTCAACATATTCTGTTACACCAAATACAAATACTTTAAAATAGCATCATATGACCACTTTAAGACCTGGGACAGTCTTGCGCACTTACTTCCTGTCACACGCACGTGCTCTCAAGTAGCCAAGACCACAAGTGTGAGTATTTGGACAAGGGATAAAGTGTCCATCATATGCGCACTTCAGAATCACGCCGGACGTAGTAGGTCATCCGGGTACTTCTCCCTACTCTTTTTCGAATACTATGAATTCGGACTACTCTGCTCACATACTGTTTTTCACATACTATATAGTAGGGAAGTATGCCATTTCGGACGCAGTGAATGTCTGGATAAAAGTCTGTATCATGTAGCACAATGGGATATTACTATGTGTTTCGAAATGACATTCAGTTGTAATAATTCATTGTTAAAGGCAGTCGTTCAAAGGCAGCATGCAGCATTGAACAAGGCTCCAGCCTAAATGTCTCTAATTTAGATATATATATATATATAAAAAAAATAATAATAATCTAAATTCAAATCTGATGGGGTCACCATTCTGGATGACCACAATTTATAACAAGTTATGTTTAAATCAAGGGAATTGAAGCTTTGTCAAATGTTTGGAAAGTTTGGGATTGAGATGTTGGCAGCCTTCAGGCAGCACTCTTCCTGAGGTAAGTCAAAATATGACTCAAATTCTTCAATATTGCAAAAATCCTCAAAAACACTTGGGAAGAAATAAAGTTATCATAACTCTAAATAAACAATCACTACTGAACCTAGAAACACGACAGAATACATGGAACAGATTAACATTACATAGACTGTTAGTTAAAGGTTTTAAAACACTCCATATGCATCTCCACGGGTTGTCACAGCAAAGGCAGGGTAACCCTCATAGGTTGCATAGGCAGTCAGGTCCTGACCCAGAGAAACAGCCTGTTTCAGCTGGGTAGCAGTGGTGCTGGCAATTGTATAACCTGTGAAACCAAAAGGAAAAGACTCAGGGCAAAATAGCTGTTGAAAAGGTGTTTTTTTTACATAGTTTGCTTAACCTTAGAAGGCACAAAAAAAAGAGTAGAACAAAAGAGCAGAAAGTCTTACATTTATAAAGTCATGGCATTAGATTAATATGCAAAACAAATTAATATCTTCAATATATATATTTTTTGCAATACAAATATCTAAACATCTTTAAAACAAGATACAGTCATTTGAGCTTCAAATTGAACATTCAATTTTGTTTTCTGAGAAGCTTAAAACAAAGACAAAAATCTGTTAATGGGGAATGAAAACTTGTTTCCCTTTGAATTAAGTTGATTTTCTGAGCCCATTAGCAGATATTTGTTCTAGTTTTAAGCCTAACTTCATTTTAAGCTCAAGTTTGATCAGTTTTTTCATAAAACGTATGTAATTTTACTTTTACTTTATTTTTTTTTGTAAAATGAATGAAAAAGTTAAGATCATCTATTGGAAGTTGTATTTTCAAACTTTAAAGCATTGCTAATACAAGACATTCACATTTAGAAATCATATTTACATTTTGTTAATTCAATTTATTCCTTAAATTTTCTTTATGTGGTCTTAAAAAGTCTTACATTTACCTTCATAAAACCTGCAGAAACCCTGCATATGTTATATGACATTAATATTTCAATGTAAATATTGAAAACAAATATGCATGATTTAACTTTATTAGTATTCTGTATTAATTTTATTTCGTTCCTAACAATTCTTTGTCACAGTCATGTATTATACCCTAGTAAAAATAAATGTACTCAAATTTATTTGAAATGCATTTATTTCATGCTAAGTATATTACAAACACATTTACATATTTATGTACTTAATAAAAATACACTGCAATTGTACTTATAGCATACTAAACTGGTATACTTGAAGTCTGCTAAATTGGAACAACAAATTTTGTGCTTAATGCACTTTAATTGTGCGTAAGTAGTGTTGAAGTTCAACAAAAGATATACTTAAGGATATTTGGTTGTGCTAAAGTGGAACTATTTTGCAAATATACTTTAGGCAAACTTTAAATATCTTGCATTTAAAAACTGATATTATTCAAAGATCATAACATCCTTATCATTAGTGACATTAAAACACATTTTAGGCATAATATTAAGAAATGTGCATTGTGCATAAGTAATACTCCAAATACGTTTTAATTATATGTTTTAGATCAGTAAGTCTTAAGTGATATGTCAGTAAAGTTAATAGATTTGAACTATACTTAGTATTAAATAAAGGCATTTGAAATATATTACTTTTTTACTAGGGTAGAGTAATTAATAGAATAAAATGTTAGTTCTAGTATATGGTTCGAGTAAACATACTCCATATTAAAAGCACAATAAAATAAGTAGCAGTCTTACAGACCTCACATACCTGGGAATGCAGCAGCTACGGCCACAGCAGCGGAAGCATCAGCACCCTCAGTCTGAATACCAAGGATCTGCAGCGTGTGTTCGGCTGCATGCAGCTTTGCCTCATCCATTGATGTGCAGAGCTTGGCGGGGGTGAACGGATGTCTGATTGGGCACACAGAGAACATCAGTGGCAAAATATGGTGTTGAGAAATTTATAGATTTCTAAAAATAGACTCATTAAAAAAAAAAAAAAAAATATATATATATATATATATATATATACAGTATATAGATGAGGAGGTTATTTAGGTTTCACAGAAGCTGGGATGTCCTGTGTCTATTATGTATTGCTACATGTCATGTCTGACTGAAGAGTGTATGGCTGTGTCCCAAAACATTGTGAGCTGATTTGATGTCTAATGGCTACACTGGCATCTGTCTACACGGACACCATGCTAACTGAAAAGTAACCTCTTAAAATACCTGATTTGAGCTGTGACTCGGTTAATCTTGTGCAATGGACTCTATGCACGCCAACTGTCTATGTATTTCTTTGAACTTCCGAAATCTTATTCTGCCTTACACCGTGTCTACACCGGACGCGAGCGGTGCGACGCAACAAAAAACAATAGAACCCATTATAAACAGTGATGCTGTCTACACTGGATGCAGCGTGACACGGCAAATCCATGTTGTAATTATGATGTACTGACAAAGTACAAATGATTTGCAAAGGTCTCGTTGTTACTTCCAGTGTGGACAGCCTTTAGCTGTTGCGGCGCGGCAACTGTCGTGTCCAGTGTAGACACTGTTAGCAAACACATAGAAGCAAACTGGTTCTAATAGCCTTATATTTCTAACAGCATAACTGTGAATCATAATTACTTATTATATGAATTACTACTTATATATTATTAACTATAGCAGCGACATCAAACTCCGTTCCTCGAGGGCCACAGTCACACAGAGTTTAATTCCAACACACATGCCTGTAGTTTTCAAATAAGCCTTAAGGATTAGATTAGCTGGATCAGGTGTGTTTAATTAAGGTTTAAGCTAAACTCTGTTAAACCTCCAAGAACTTGGAGAGTTCACCTACTTCAAGACTTGAAGAGTTTGACACTCCTGATCTTTTGTAAACATTATATTCAAGTGTATTGTATTAAAACATAACATGTTACTGATAAATTCCTGAAGCTTTAAATGTAGATGGAAGCTTTTAAATGTAAATGTAGACCAATAGTGGCGTGCAGTAAGTTGAGATCTACATAGAACGGTCAGAAATCGATCAAATGAAGGTATCTCAGTAGACAGGATGTGACACGATCATTGGATTCAGACATGCGTTGTTGCCTTCCTACTTCTGTATGCTGCCTGCGGAGGCAGCATTTTTCAGCTTTCAGACACAGCCATAATGTATAAGGACTGTAGAGAGCACGTCAGTAGGAAAATAAAGGCAAAACCCGGATGTTTTAAGGCAATTTAGAAAACCCTGTCAGGACATGCCCAAGAAAAGTATGATATGCAGTAACCCTAATTTAGTTAAGTGGTTCCCAACCTCATACCTGGAGTACCTGCATCTTTCCACATTTTTTATCGTCTTCTCAGTTAAACACACCTGATTCAGTTGTTCAGCTCATTGGTAGAGACTTTAAAACCTGAAATGGGAGTGTCAGACAAATGAGACATGCAAAATGTACAGTTTTCATGTACAGTCCTCCGGGAGTGTGCTTGGGAACCACTGATCTAGGCAGCTCACAAGGTTTTGTGACACAGTTAATACGAGTGTTTTTGCTTTGTGATGATGTGAGTATGGTTGAGGTAGAGGTTGTGGCGTACATATTTGGATATTGAGTAGCCAGAGCAGGGATGGTGATTTTGTAAAGGAACAGTTGCCTCTGATCTGGTCCAATAGCAGAGTGAAGCTGGTAAACAGGTTGCCCCCAGTTATTCTTTTGGCAAATATCCTCCAAGATCTGCAAAAAGAGGCAAACTCGTCCTTGGAAATAATGTTCCTTTGAAAAATTCCTCTTAAAATCCACAAGTGATCGTTTCAGTGAAGATATGAGTGTACCTGTGGGGCGTGTTTGATGCCTTGGGGCTTCAGAGTGACTGGGTTCATGGGCGTGAGCTCCATGCCAGGAAGAAGGTCATAAAGTTTGTCGTCGGGGTGTTTGTCTGTCTTGAGTTGGTACGTGGTGCTACCACGACCCACGCCTGCATAGGCGAGGTATCCTCGCCCACCCAAACCACGTATGCCCGCTGCCCCTACAGGTACATTCATGTAAATGTCTAGGAATGCAAGAAGGCATTAAGTCGAATCAAATCACCAGAAATCACCCAGGTTTCAATCAAGATTTAGAGAAACTGATCATCATATATATATATTCCAAGCCAGCACATTACAGATGCTGCATCTCTGATTCTTGTCGGATTATTTTTTTAGAAATTTGATAGACTTGATTTTTGGACCCCATCCATTCAGAATAATATATTATTGTCATTGGACTGTAATATGCAGGCATGGATAACAAATTCAAATGCTACATAGGACAAGCAAAACTATCAAGAACAATATAGCAAAATACATTATGTTTTTGGTCACATGCAAATGGAGATGCAAATATTATGCAGTTGAACTGCTACAATGAAACGATAATGAAAGATCTTTACATAAGTAATTTGCCCTGTCCCTTTAAAGTTAAAGGGATAGTTCACCCAAAAAATGAAAATTACCCCATGATTTACTCACCCTCAAGCCATCCTAAGTGTATATGACTTTCTTCTTTCAGACGAATCCAATCGGAGTTATGTTAAAAATGTCCTGGCTCTTCCAAGCTTTATAATGTTATTTTTCAATAGTCCAAAGGAAGTCCAATAAAAGCGCATCCATCCATCATAAAGTGTCTCAAATGGCTCTGGGTGTGAATAAAGTCCTCCTGTAGCGAAGCGATGCGTTTTTTAAGAAAAATTCCATATTTATAATTTGATAAACGGTTATCTTTAGCCTCCGCTAACTGTTGTACAGACGTTCACAATAGAACGCCGTTCCGGTGGATGATGAAGGACGTAGGCATAGCGTAAGGTCTGGTGAGAATATGCTAGTCTCATGAGAACCAACGTTTGTTTACAGGAGTAAAGGAAGCAAAGTTTCCTTACTTTAGCAAAGGAAAACCAGTCTCATCTTGGCTTTTATCAAAATCCTCTGACATTTTTATTTACAAATCTTCGTTTTGTACTTCTAATTCGTGACCAGTGTTTTGTTTTGCTCTCTCTGCTGTGCTTCCACATTTGTCACTACTCACCGGACCTTACTTTAGGTCCTACGTCATCTGCCGGAATGGTGTTATTGTGAGTGCGCATACGATAGTTAGCGGAAGCTAGAGATTATTGTTTATAAAGTTTTAAATATGGATATTTTTTCTTACAAAAACGCATTGATTCACTACAGGAAGCCTTTATTCACCACCCCCCACTTTTTATTATGGATGAATGCGCTTTATTTTACGTCTTTTGGACTATTGAGAAATAACACCCACTCACTGCAATTATAAAGCTTGGAAGAGCCAGGACATTTTTAAAAATAACTTTGATTGGATTTGTCTGAAACAAGAAAGTCATATACACCTAGGATGGCTTGAGGGTGAGTAAATTATGGGGTAATTTTCATTTTTGTGTGAACTATCCCTTTAACATGAAATTAAAATGTACTCAATTTACCTCCTGATCTTATTGTGCACCAAGTCACATTATGAATGTAAAATATAATTTGAAAAGCATTTCATGTTGACTTTATTAATTGTAGACTGTTGATTTTGTTACTTAGATATGAAGAGTAGATCTTTTGGTCAGAGTGATTTTATATATTCATTAAGAACTACTGTATTTTTAGCAGATTCTTCACAAGCTTGATTAACAGTTACAGAATGATATTTCTTCAGAGATTTCTTTTAATCATGTCTGGAACAGATTTCTACAAATTAATCAGATTACCCACCTCTCACAGAGGGGGAGCGCACCAGTCCCCTGGTACTTATGTGCCCTTTGGTACTGGGGAAGCGGAACTGATTAGGGATGGCTGCGTATGCATGGGGGGCGTAGAATATTGGTGCTCCTAGGTAGGCTGCTGAGGGGTCGTACATTTGGCCAACGGTGTAAGCATAGTCTCCTTGGAGCAGAGTACCACCACGACCCCCAGTGCCTCTGGTGTACCGAACATAGCTGTCCTTATCCACAGGTTTGGCTAGTGTGACCTCAATGGGAGAGCCATCAATGACCTGGAGGGAAGTCAGAGTTTTTATATGGCATTATTTCGTAATGATTCAAGTGATTTTCAGTTAGGCTGTGTGCCGTCTTGCCTTGCCATTCAGAGCGTTCATGGCATTGATGGCATCCTCTCTTTGAGAGAAATGAACAAAAGCGTAATCTCTGATCTTCTTCACCCTTTCAACAGCATCTGTAGATTAGCAAACACTGTAAATATTTAAATTAAATCCTTTAAAACAATAAAATGATTTTATTCAGAGTTCAGACTCAGGAACAGGTTATTTATTTGGTGCTTGCTTTTCTAAGTGCTCATACTTATGATTTTTGCCTGGCAGATGATAGAAAGGGTAAAAAGGGTTGCACTGAAGGATTGACCTGAGCCATATCCAGAGACCAGAATATTAAATAGACTTTTTGTTAGCTCACCATGTTTGATGCTGTTAAACTCTTTCTCTATAGTTTCCTCTGTGGTGGGCAACATCAGATTACGAACATAGAGGATCTTCACTGTGGCCATGGTGTCCTCATCTACCTCTACTTCAGGTTCAGCCCAGTCAACTGCAATAGGATGACCCCACAGCTGAATTCTCCCTGGAAAGAGGTAGAGAAAACCATGTCAGTGGCTAGTCTTTTATCTTTCACTCATCTTCTTTGGGCAATGAACTAAGTATCTTTGGACTCAACATGAGTTCAGCCTGTAGGAAATCAATAAAATCTTGTCTGGCTCTGGAAACTGACGATTACTTTGAAAAATGTCTGAAACATTTGAAACAGAAGTGTGAGTGGTTTTTGGACAAGACTATTGGTATAATATCTAATGTGATGTAGCTTGAATTATTTGATGTATTGGGTGTTACCTGGCAGCAGTTTCCTCCTGGCCATGGCAGCAGCTCTATGGCTCTCATACTCGACAAATGCAAAACCTCGATTCTTGGTCTTGTCAGCAGCACTTGGATAAACGATGACATCCATGACACCATCCGTCACCTTCTTCATCTCTGCCAGGATCTCTTCTCTCTTTTTGGTCTTTGGAATGCCACCGACAAATAGACGACAGTTGTCTACACTTGCACACACACCAAGAAGTCGTCCATTCCTGTGTGAAGATGTGTGAGAATTTTTCATCATTTTTAATTTATTTTTTGGTTATGCTTTGTCTACAAGATGTCCAGTTTGAACAATGACTCACCGGATTTCATAGTTGTTCAGTTGTTTCATGGCATTCTTAGCCTCTTGTTTTGTGGAGAAGGTAACAAATGCATAGCCCCGATTGTTGCCATTAAAGTCCATCATCATCCGTACTTCAAAAATTTTGCCGAACTGCAAAGACAGGTACACCACACTAAAATATCTATGGAAGCCTGTTTGTACCTCAGAGTAAAAAATACTGTAAAATAAAAAAGTCAGATTATGGAATATCAAAGCAAATAAATGTGCAATTGCAAGATATAGTCTCAATTACCTTATGCAATGACCTATTTATTTATTTTAGGCGAGAACGGTCTTCCATTTGGTTAAAGTCATTTTTAATTCATTCATTTAAAATAATAGTTGTTGACCAGTTTTCCCCTTACTTTTTCACAGAGTGGCACCAGTTCATCCTCAAAGAGGTCTCGAGGAAGCTTTCCCACAAAAATCTCACTGCCTCTCTCTGGAGGTGGGCCTTCCCAGCCAGGAGGTGGACCACCATATCTCCTCTGGCCATTTTCCTGAGGAGAAACCAACTGTGATGACTCTATAATATATTACACGTTAATGTGCACACTGAGATGTGGACAAAGTAAAACCATGAATGATTATGCTACTGCGATAGACCTCAAGGATGAACAAATCATTGTACTGATCCACAGACATATGCTGCTTTTTTTGTTCACAGATGGGAAGGAAGGAGGTTTTCCATTTTCACCACATGATGGTGCCACTTTGCAACATACTAAATACTGCTGAAGACAGCCACACAGAAATCTCCAGTAGTGAAAACCTCAGAGTATTGGATCTTATGGACCAGTGGCACCGGATTTCAGTCTCAATAAGAGTTCAATTAAGCAAGTATTCCTTTCCCATAATCCCACAGTGGCACCTGTCCTGTTACCCGAGGCTGTGGTAACTCCTACCTGGTGTATCTGATATCCTGTGCGCTGGATCAGAGCGCGCAGCGCAGTCTCTTTCTGCATACCAGTCAGTCCATCCCCGCATTTTTGATTGGTTTCCATTGTGAGTGATTATCAGCAATAAATCAGCAAAATTAGGGGTGCTCACTGAAATTAAATCAAAGTTCAAACACACATAAATGACATGGCAGGACAGCATAATCCTGCTTTAAATCTGAACATGATAAGAAGCCAGTATGTGTTTCTCACAGACAGGTTCAAAGGTAAGAAATTCATATGTCCTTACCACACTCTTTTGAACAACACTAATCCATTACAAAATAGCCATTTTATTCATTTATATGTCAGAGAAAACTTTATCACAAAGATCTGATTCTAGTGGAGGAGAAACATGATTATTTGGTCTTAATGTAGGCATCTGTCATCTTAATTTAATCAGTGTCTCTGATCAAAGTCTGTTTAAACTGCATGAAGAAAGCTTTGGGTAGCCTATATATTGGCTTTTCATCTGCTGGACAGCATTGGCAAGAAAAGTGGGGAAAAAAACATTTTCCTCACCTCCAGGTCAAGGGCCGCAGTGTAATTATTAACTGAAGAGAGCAAATCAAAAAAGCAGACAATCATTGAGTCACATATGTTTCAATAGAAGGGCATCTGTGCACCGCCCTTATTTCACACTTTGTTTTCCCTCAATCAGAATTTAGAAAATATAACAGCATAAATCTATTATTACATCATTATTGCTCTATAAATAGCTCAGAGGTCAAGAGACTAAAGGGATGGTTCACACACACACACACACACACACACACATGTTTACTTAGCAATCTAAATGGGGACATTCCATAGGCGTAATGGCTTTTCTACTGTACAAACTGTATTTTCTATCACCTTACACCAACCCTACACCTAAACCTACCCCTTACAGGAAACTTTCTGCATTTTTACAATTTTAAAAAAACTTTGTTTACTTTATTTTTATACCAGTTTTACAAATGAGGACGTCCCCAAAGTGAGGTTTTTGGAGATTTTGCCAGGTTTAGCTCACATTTGGGTACAAATTGGTCCCCAAAATATGGTTAAGTAGGTGCACACATACACACACACACACACACAAATTGATTCTGTCATCATATACTCATACTCAGGTTTTTCCAAATGTGTGTGAATTATATATATATATATATATATATATATATATATATATATATATATATATTGTATTTTATAATATTTTTTATTATTTATATATATATATATATATATATATATATATATATATATATATATATATTATATTTTATATTTAAAAAATGAATATGAATAGCTGCTCTGATATTTTTTTTCATTTGTTGATAAGTTCACATTAAAATCTATGACTTTTGATCGCAGACTTTAGTGACTGAGCAAATTTGTTTTCTGAGGAGAAAAATTGTGCAAGCAGGAGACTGAAGCAAAAAGTAAGCAAAAGTGCCCATTTATCTTGATCTAATGTTAACAAGATCTCCCTTGTGATTAGTCTTTCTTTTGAGATGAGAGTGCTATCAAGCGTGATTGAATCACATAGGCACGGGTCTTTAATATCTTCAGTGGAGTGACTATTTGTCTTTGTCAGCTTCCCTTGATCAAAAATAGATGCTGAAGACAACAAAGGATTGTGAGTACAGAATAGGGGTCAAAGGTGACAAGACTGCCAGTCATTTTTAAAAGCATCTGCATGCAATCATGACAGCAATGATGAGACCATGATCATTGTCTCTACAAGCGTCTCATAAAAGTGAGAAAAAAAGACATAAACAAAAAATTACCAAACTATAATTTAAATTAAAACAAAATATACAAAAACTATAATATATACATAAGCTATAATTAAATTTACATTCATTCATTTAACAGAAGCTTTTATCCAAAGTGACTTACAAATGAGGACAGCAGAAGCGATCAAAACCAACAAAAGGGCAATAATATGTACAGTAAGTGCTGTGACATGTCTCGGTTAGCCTAACGCAGTACACGTAGCATGTTAATGATACATATATTTTTTACATATATTTTGCATGTACAGTATAAGGTCAGGACTTGAATCCAACATGTATTTTACACATAAAAATAACTACTTAGTTGTTAAAATATATACTTTTTTCAAGTCTTATATTGTCTAGTCCATCGAGTGAGGGAGGACAGCCTTTGGCGTCCCCTTAAAAATGTTGTGCATGATGCCCCTGGAAGTCTGTGTGCTCTTTTGAATTTTATATTGTTTTCTTTTCATTAATTTTACAATGCAGCGCATCTCTCCAGCAATGACAGTGCTAATGTGTTCGCCTCTGCATATTCAATAGCTTGTGCAAAGCACAGATAGTTTATTTTGACTGAAATGACTCGTCACAGATGACTCACAGAGTGAGATGATATTACCGCACGCTTTTGCAGTTGGCAAATGTGGCCTTTTATTCAATCCATACAGTACATGAGACCAAGAAATCTTTACTAAAGGTCATAAATGACGAGTTTCTTGAAGCTCAAACGTCAGGGATTTAAAAGAGATGGCCGAACATTAGGAATCCATTAAAGAGAGCGTTTTAAGACAGTAGGGACAGGACTCCATTAGTCTGCAGTCCATCCACTGCTCTCTTCTGGACAGCCTGGTTACCGTTTGCATAAACAAGATAACTAGACGTGTGCTTATCGGGCCTGGATCTCTGGCTGCTTTTCAGCCTATGTTGACTGAAGCTAAATACACATGTTCTGAAGGCCATTGTGCTGGTCTGAAACTGCAACACTGAGTTTGAATTATTACCATCAAACCGGAGGTTTAGAGTCCCAAGATTCAATAAAGTTAGGCTGAAACATTCTTTTGTGCATCAGGCGATCCTGGAGCTGAATAAGACACTTAATCAAAAAATCAAGAGTAATGTGAACATGGTGTAGTTGTAGAAGTGTAGTAGGAGGGTAAGGTATAATGTAATGTTTAAGGGAGTGTAATGTATATTGTGTTTTGTTTGTGTGTGGATGAAGTGCATGTTGTTGTTTAAAGGATGTTGATTGTTGTAAACACAGATACTGTCATGCAAGAAAAATTTCAGACTCGTCTGACAATAAAGTGTTATAAAGTAAAAGTAAAGTAAAGTAAAGTAAAGTAACACAAGTGCAGGGAATATAATATTTGTAATTGCACTTCAGTTGCATGTTACATTTGCTGCCTGCCTCTGTATTTAAGCTTTTAAGACCAAAAATCTGAAATTATATCATATGCACTACACCCCCCCCCCCCCCCCCCACTACACACTGTTGCTACTGTTAAAAACCATCTGTGAGGTTCAGTATGGCGTGTTTAATAAATACTGTATGTTGGAGAAGTACCATATGTTGAAACATTTCAGTAACAGCAGTGATAAGCTCTGGGTTTGTGTTATAGCTGACCTCCTTACAACTATATTAAAACTCACATGTGCATGTATGTATGTTGAAATATTACAGTTGAAGAAAGGTTAAACATGATGAGTGGCTCGTTTCTGCATTATAAACACTGATGAAGAATCACAAAAGAGTTTGTGCTGTTGAATCTTAAAATCGAAATACCATTGCTATAAATAAGCTGAAAGAATTAGTCAAGTTAATGTGTATAATTCATTGATGACCCCTTGTGTATATCTTACCTAGACAGCGTCCTCAATCATAGGGGAATAGTTTTAATGCAAAATGATTAATTGTGTTGCACAATTCAAAGCATTAAATACAAGCAACAGCCGTACGGATGAGCACAGTGTTTTTTAAACACTGCCACTACCTTTATCTTGCCACTGCCTGACAAGGCTCCTTATGTCACATAATTTTGTATTAAAGAAGCAACTTACCTGAGCAATTTCAGAGATCACCACCCAGAAGACTCAGACCCTCATTCTGCTGAATTTGGCAACGTGTCACTGGGGTGATTCTGTAATCACATCATATCAAACTCCAAAGGTTCACTGTCCTGGGGCTGCTTTACAAGCCGGCGTGGTTAAACGTTAACCAGCTCTATCTCTGCCTCTTGCTGTAGGCCAGCCCTTTGACCAGGAACATCGATCATGGTTCGTCTGCAGCAGGGAGCAAGCCTCCGGAACCCCGGATCATGCTGCAGAAGATTTGTATTGCTCTTTTTTTGTCTCAAATATTAATTTTTTTTTCATATCTCTTGTTTTCGGCCAAATACAGATACAGACTAACCAAATGCACAAATAAACTTAAAAAATAAAATATTTGCTTGAATTCAAGGGGTCTGAGATGGAATTATAAAAATGGGCCCCAGCAGTTCGGACATGTTTTGGGTCCCCGTCATCACATGGTCCAGAACAACATTTTAAGTTGTCCTTACCGACGACAGTCCTGAGACATTTAATGATTAAAACACTATAGGTTGCCATCATCTCTTTAAGATATTTTATACAACAGGTTTTGTATGACGGGGCCACGAGAGGGTGTTAGAGGGTCCATGGAACATTTGTTTTACAAAATGTATATACTAGTCATTATATATACTACATTTCAAAAATGGCAATAATGACATTTATAATGTTACAAAATATTTCCTTTTAAATTATGTTCTTTTGAACTTCCTATTCATCAAAGTATCCTTAAAAACGGCATATTAGATCGCTTTCTGAAGCATCATGTGAAACTGAAGACTGGAGTAATGGCTGTTGAAAATTCACACTCTTAAAAAACGATTCTTTATTGACATTGATGGTTTCATAAAGAACTTTTAACATCCATGGAACATTTCCATTTCTGTATTTTTGAATAAATAAATGCAGCCTTCGTGAGCACAAGGAAATGTAATCTTCCAAATCTTACTGACTCCCAAACTTTTCTTACACAGGATAAATGTCTTTACCACTGAAAATATATAGCTGCCTTTATATTTTAAGAACAAAACCATTACAAGTGACCACCACTGAGCCTCAGAGAGTCTGAAAACTGATGTATATGTCAAAACATGTTCTGTTTTGAACTCCTAGATTGTTCTTACTTTCCACTCAACACCAGGTATTGACAAAGTAAACATGCTACTGCTGATGTCTTGTTGTCATGGCCCAGTGTTTGCTATCTCCTGACTTGTTTGTTTGACTTTGATATGGACAAGTGGTCCCATGGTCCCTGTGCTCTCAAGACAAACTCTGCTGTGCACTATGTGCTACATAGGATCTACTGACCTGAATTTCATGTGAATACAGCATTAATTGACATCCAACAGTGAAGTTCACTAAGTGTGAACTGAAGACCAAAAGCTTTTATATTTCATAAACATAAATTTTTTATATAGATAGAATTTTAATGAGTCAGCAAGCAAAATGGCACGCCGAGTGAAATAGCGCCCCCTTGTGAAAAAAAAGAACCTACTGTCTGAAGAAAATAGGGTGGATGAGGGCTTTATTTTTGATTTTATCAGATTCAGCCAATCAGAGGGGCGAAAGGTGATTCATTCAGTGATTCACACAACTCTTTGTCTCTTTAAATGCAAATGTGGCTATGGAAAGACATATTGTCTAAGACATATTGAAAACACTTCCACAAATAGTAACAAAGAGGATATATGCAGCACAGCAAAAAGCATGAGAGCTATTGAGTCTTAAAATGCTTCTTTTACAGAGTGCTATTGATTTCTGTTTGGTCCATGTGCAAATTGGGCTTTCTTTACTCAAACTCTGTCAGTAACAGCCTACAATCACAGTCACACACACACACACACACACGCACACACACACGCACGCACGTACGCACGCACACACACACACACACACACACTCACACACACTCAAGATCACACCATAAGGCTTTACACAACTGCATTTCACTGAAGTCTGTATTTTTCTTCATATTGTGTTATGTAACTGTTTTCTGAATTAAACAGGCAGTGCTTATGGATTCCAGTGAGAGTGTTCAGTGTGTCTTGGATCATTAGCGGTGTTCTTTTCTATGGCTTGTGCTCCTCTGGATGACCTCCTCTGACACTTTATACACTGGGAGGAGAACATTAATTTGTGTTGATGCAGTTACAAAAGATGTTTTTCTTATAAACAAAATCATTCAAGTTTTTAAATATGCACTTCATGAGCTGCATATATTTATTTCTATTGTTGTTCATCCAAGTCTCTGCCTTTTTCACACAGAACAACCTCCTCGACAGCAACTAGTCTGGTTTCAGAAGTGGACATTCAACCGAAACTGCCTTGCTCTCAGTTGTAGACGCCCTAAGACTGGCAAGAGCAGATTCCAAATCTTCAATATTTATCTAGCTGGATCTGTCTGCTGCTTTTGACATGGTTAACCACCAGATCCTCTTGTCAACCCTATTGGCAAAAGGCATCTCAGGAACCGCACTCCAGTGGTTTGAGTCTTACCTCTCAGATAGGTCTTTCAAGGTATCTTGGAGAGGTGAGGTGTCCAAGTTGCGACATCTAACTACTGGGGTGCCTCAGGGCTCAGTTCTTGGACCACTTCTCTTCTCTGTCTACATGTCATCACTAGGTTCATCACTGCTATGCTGATGACACTCAACTCTACCTCTCATTCCATCCTGATGATCCGACAATACCTGCTCGCATCTCAGCTTGTCTAACAGACATTTCTTGCTGGATGAAGACCATCACCTTCAACTCAACCTTGCCAAGACAGAACTGCTTATGGTTCCATCAAACCCATCATTTCATCACAATTTCACCATCCAGTTAGGCACATCAACCATAACTCCTTCAAAAACAGCCAGAAATCCGCCAGAAATCTTGGAGTTATGATTGATGATCAGCTGACTTTCTCAGACCACATTGCTAAAACTGTCCAGTCCTGCAGATTTGCTTTATTCAACATCAAGAAGATCAGGCCCTTTTCTTTTGGAACATGCTTCACAACTCCTTGTTCAAGCTGTTGTTCTGTCCAGGCTGGACTATTGCAATGCACTCTTGGCAGGTCTTCCAGCCAGTTCTATCAACCCTTTACAATTAATCCAGAACACGGCAGCAAGATTAGTTTTTAATGAGCCGAAAAGAATGCACGTCACACCTCTGTTTATCGATTTTGCACTGGCTACCAATAGCTGCTTGCATAAAATTCAAGGCATTAATGTTTGCCTACAAAACCAACGCTGGCTCTGCACTAGAGGTCTTCACAGGTCCACCTGGATCTGAAAACCCGAGGTCCGACCCGAGACCCGAGCGGGTTCGTGTCCGGGTCCAATACTTCAACGAGTACCTCGGACACGGGTCGGGTTCGGTATTATTGGCCTCGGGTCTCGGGTAATTTAAAATAAACATGCTTTTTCCAAATGGACCCAATTAGACCCGACTTCTTTTAAACTATCCCGAATGCGTTGGTTACTTTTACTTTCGTGTTAAGTGAGGAATGCACATAGAAAAGGGGCATGCGTTTGTAACCTCGCACACAGAAATCATCTTGTAGATTTATGAGATCCAATAGGAAAATCCACTTGCTTCATTATGCTGCGTGTTCATGCAGGGCTTTTCTTTTTTGTGTGCAGAAGCCTTTCGCCGGAGATCAGCTTGCAGACAACACTTGCGAATCCATGAATTATTAGGCTATCAATTAATTTTTTATCAAACTATCACATTTATTTTTCAAATCCACTTGTCACAATTGAAAGTCAAGCTCAGAAATAACTTGTGTCCATCAGGCAGGCACTATAAAGTAGTAATAAATGTAATACATGTTAAATAAATCAAAGTAATGGAGAAGCGGCCAAATCAGTCAGCAGGACACCGGGATTTTTCCTGATTGACTGCGGAGCAGCAGGCTGTACACACGTCAATGCCGTTTATGTTCTGGTTTGAAAATAAATGCCGTCGGGTCGAGTTGGACTCGGGTCTAATTTCATCACATCACAGCACTTAATTTCATCGGGTCTGTCTCGGGACGGGTTTTTCTTTAAAAAAATATATATTTAGGCTATGCACAATTGGGTTCGGGTAAGAAGTGATTCGGGTCGGGTACAGATTTTAGGACCCAAGAAGACCTCTACTCTGCACCCCTTTACCTAAATTAATTACTTAAAACTTATGTGCCCTCTAGAAGCTTGCATTCTGCAAGTGAACGTTACTTTATTGTGCCATCTCAAAGAGGCACAAAATCACTTTCACTGACTTTAAAAAAAAATAGTTCACCTAAAACTCTGACCCTTTATTTACTTTATATACTTTCCGTAAAAAACACAAAATGAGATATTAGGAAGAATGTCTTTATGCTGGCAGACTCCAAAAAGGCAAAATAAAAGTCATCCATATGAGTTATGAGTTATATTAGTAGTCCTCTAAAGCCATACAGTGCAGAAATTTAAGCCACCCTTCACTATTTCCAACAAATAATAGACAGGAAGTGATTCATTTTAAATGAAGAGTAGTATGGCAGCTGCTTGGAGTTCCGATCAATTGCGCATGCAGAATTTACTGATCAGATTTGAGCTTTGGGAGGGTTGAAATATCAAATTTGTGTGGTTAGACCATATATAACTGCTAGACCAGATATAATGATACATTTAAATCAAAACTATGTGTGTGAGGTGATAATTACCACATTTTTGGCACTAAAATGTTCATTAGCCATAGAAAACCAACACTATTTTTTTTTCTAACATATATATATATATATTTTTTTTTTTTTTTTTTTTTTTTTTATTATTATTTTTTTTTATGTATATATTCATACATTCATTATTCATTTATGCCAGGGTGAAATTCACCAGCTGAATAAGGGAATGGTATGACAGTAGCTTCACAACCTGTTTGAAAGTTCCATGCAAGTGCCACTAAGTGAAAATGCCAAAATTGTATGCAAATTTTGGAGATGGTAAAAAAAAAGGATCTCAGTTGTTATATTGCTTTCAAGAGCATACTGTCGGTTGAGCATTCGTTGTTATGACGCGGCACATTCAAGTCGGAAACGTACCACAGATG